TTTGTATTTATTTTTGAGACAGAGCGAGACAGAGTATTGAGTGTGGGAAGGGTAGAGGAGAGGGAGACACAGAATCTGAAGCAGGCTCCAGGCTCCAAGCTGTCAGCTTGGACATAATGTCTTTGGGCTTCCAGAAGCAAATGAAAGAAGCTTCTCAGTCAGTGGTACTCTTCTCCTCTACTCTTGTTTTTATAAAGTTATCATAGTGGGTCTCTGATTTTGTCAGAACTCTAAGATCATATCATCCTTCTTATTTATATTATGGAAGGAAAAAGATCCACAGATACACATTATTGTTTTCAGAAAGGACATCCAGGAGTAGTGTAGCAATATAAGAAGTTATGTAGAAGGCAAGTCATTTGCATTACAACCAGCCAGATCACGTGGGTAACAGAGTAACTGCTGATCTCTCTGTTATGTCCCTCTGCACCTGGGGTTACGATAATTATACATGTTAAACTTGCTTGGAAATGGCATTTCAAGCAGAGTTTGATGAACCTCCATATTCCACATTCCAACTACCTGATAATATTCTGTTATTTTCCATTGTGTCTAGGTCTGGAACTGACACTTTGGATCAACAAATCTGACTCTGACAAGTACATTAGTAGATAAATCTCCATAAGTTTTGTATTTTTAAGGTGTTTTTCTTTAAGAGAGAGAGACAGAGATCACAGGAGGGGCAAAGAGAAGGGAGAGAGAGAATCCGCACCATCAGCACACAACCTGACATGAGGCTTGAACTTACCAACCCCAAGATCTTGACCTGACCTGAAATCAAGAATGGCACGCTCAACTGAGTCATCCAGGAGCCTCTTTTTCTGTTTATTTCTCATTTTATTTATTTACTTTTTTTAGTAAAAAAAACTCCCTATGAAAGAGAACAGAGAAACTGGTGACACGCAGGAGCACAATATATTCATCTATCTATATCACTTGTATCTACATAAGACTGGATGTCTCTCTTTTCTTTGTTTTTTTTTTTTCCAATAACAATTTTACTTTTTTAATTTAAAATCTATGCTTGTTAACATGTAGTGTAATAAGGGTTTCAGGAGTAGAATTTAGTGATTCTTCGCTTAAAAATAGTACCCAGTACTCATCCCAACAAGTGCCCTCCTTAATGCCCATCACCCATTTAACCCATCCCCCACCCACCACCCTTACAGTAAACCTCAGAGTGTTCTTTACACCCAGGAGGCTCTTATGGTTTGTCCTCTTCCGTTTTTATCTTATTTTTCCTTCCCTTCCCCAGATGTCCTTTCAAAAGAAAGTAAAGGAAGCGCTTTGAAAAGATCATCCAACCCCATGCACTTTTGGTGAGTCTGGGGAAATATTCATGCCATTTTTACATGCCTAGTAAAACTCTATTTTATTTTTCCCACATACTAACAATTGAATTCCTGAAAATTAGTGGTGTGCTTAAATTCGCTGACATTTTGGAATACCCATTTCTGAATACCTAGATGGGAGGAATCTCTAGAAAACATGGAAACTCAGAGGCGACAATGTATAGAGACAAGGGGACTCAATCTTGCTGACAACAGAGTGTGGGAAAATGGGTAAATGGGTAATTCTTGGACTAGAGGCTAGGTTCTTGGGCTTAAACTGCTCACAGCTGCCAGTAACATGAGATTTGGCCAATGTAAGCTCATTAATTCTTAATGAAATATATATCACTTGAACATTTGAATTTTTCATGAGCTCAGGCATAAGCAATGATGCGAAAATAAAGGGGTGAAAGGACACGTTTCCCAACAGGAGTCCAATATGGAAGTAGGAATGGAAGACACGGAGCAGACTTGGGATACCAGAAATGATGGAGGAGATGGCTCAACTAACGAACATTTAATCACCTCGATTCATGATGACTGACTTTTCTGAAAACTGGGCTCTTAGTCTAGTTTGGATACATTTGTATCTGAAAAGACCATTGCTTTTTAAAAATCACATATCTTAAATTAGAAAGCCTCAAGCTACATTAGAAAGTTTCTATTTGGTGAAAACAGGGTTCAGTTGTTTCACTCTTTCCTAGTTGGTCCAACACTGTTGCTTTCTGTAAGCCCATGCAAGCCCATGATCATTTAATCATATACTTATTGTCACCAAAAATGCCAGTAATGCAGGAAGAGCTGTGGTCTGTGTGGCTAAACCTCAAGTGAAGGAACCCACTCAACAGGTCCATTCTAGAAGCAAGTCTGTATCAGCTGATGCATATTTAGAATAGACCAGTTAGTCAACTAAGACATGATTTCCAAAGCTTTGCTCCCCAATGCTTAATCCTAGAGATTCCTCAATCATGGATTCGTTTATTCACTTCTTCTTTCTAGAGTTAATCAG